GCAGCAGCAGCAGCAGCAGCAGCAGCAGCAGCAGCAGCAGCAGCAGCAGCAGCAGCAGCAAGGCAGCAGCAGCAGCAGCTGCTGCTGCTGCTGCTCACAAAAGGCCCCCAGAGTCTCACCGAAGACACGAAGATCTCCTTCGCTCCAAAGCCGGACATCTTTCCAGTGTCTGTCCTCCGTAAATCCCGAAATAAAAAAAGAGTCCGAAAATAAATCTCCACTCTCCCCACAACAAACAGTTTCCGGCTCCTGGGAGGCCCCATCTGCTGCTGCTGCTGCTGCTGCTGCTGCTGCTTGTGCTGTTGCTGCTGTTTCGCCGAGCGGCTTTGCAGCGGGGGGCGCCGGCGAGCCGCTGCCGCTGCCGCTGCTGCTGCTGCTGCTGCTGCTGCTGCTGCTGCTGCAGCAGCAGCAGCAGCAGCCAGGGCCCCCAGCTGTGACGCCCCAGCAGCGGGCAAAGGCAGCCAAGAACTCGACGCGCGTCAACGCGGGCGCGTCCCCGGGGGGCCCCCCGGGGGGCCCCCCTGAGGCAGCAAAGAGGGAGGGCAAAGAGGGGAGGGACCGAACTGAAGGCGCCAGCAGCAAAGAGCGCCGCGTGGACGTCTCCGCCCTGCAGCTGCCACCAGTAGAAGAACTCCTCAAGGCCGATGTTGTGGTTGCGCTGCAGCAGCTCGAGGCTGCTGCTGCAGCGGGGGCCCCAGCGGGAGTGCGGCAGCCAGGGGAAGGCGGGCTGCTGCTGCTGCTGCTGCTGCTGCTGCGCTGCTGCTGCTGCAGGCGCAGGCGCAGGGAGCGACGGGCAAGCCCTGAACCCCAAACCCTAAACCCTCCCCCAAACCCTAACCCTAAACCCTCCCCCAAACCCTAAACCCTAAACCCTCCCCCAAACCCTAAACCCTAAACCCTCGCCCAAACCCTAAACCCTAAACCCTCGCCCAAACCCTAAACCCTAAACCCTAAACCCTCGACTGACCTTCTTCGCCGTCCTCGAGGTCTTTGAAAACCCTGCTCAGCTCCTCCTGCACTTTCAACTCCGCTATAAACCCCACACACTCCGCCCCCTTCAGACACCAGCGCTGCTGCTGCTGCTGCGGCTGCTGCAGCCACGGCAGACACAGCAGCGCAGCAGCAGAAGGCCGGCTCGACGGATGCACAGTCAAACACGCCCGCAGAAACTGCTTCACTTGCTGCAGCTCCTCCAGCAGCTGCTGCCGCGCAGCAGCCTCGCTCCCTGCTGCTGCTGCTGCTGCTGCTGCTGCTGCTGGTTCTGCTGCTGCCGGTTCTGCTGCTGCTGCTGCTGCTGGTTCTGCTGCTGCCGGTTCTGCTGCTGCTGCTGCTGGTTCTGCTGCTGCTGCTGCTGCTGGTTCCTCGGGCCTGCCGCCTGCTGCTGCTGCTGCTGCTGCTGCGGGCGCCTCGGGCGTGCTGCCTGCTGCTGCTTCTTTCTGCTGCAGCCAGCGGGAGCAGCCAAAGTGGCTGCGGTGACACAGCGAAGCCCCAGAGAGCCACTTGGCGAGTTCCACTAAGCAGCTTTCAAACAGCTTCGACTCAGTTTCTTCAAAAGAAGAACTTGCTGCTGCTGCTGCTGCTGCTGCTGCTGCTGCTGCTGCTGCTGCTGCTGCTGCTGCTGCTCCGGCATGGCCACTGGTCAGCGCCGGCTCCGTGCTGCCCGGCGCTTCCGCTGCACCGGCGACGTGCTGCAAAGGCTGCTTCCCGCTCCCGCCTGCTGCTGCTGCTGCTGCTGCTGCTGCTGCTGCTGCTGCTGCGGGCGCTGCGGTGTACGTACGCTGCGGGAGCATGAAGCACGGAGGGCCCGCTGCTTTCGCCATCATCTTGAGAAGCAGCAGCTTCCGGTGCAGCAGCCACCGCGAGAGTTCCGTGCCCACCGCGGAAATTGTAGGCGCCGTGGCCGCTGCTGCTGCTGCTGCTGCTGCTGCTGCGGGTGAGTCTGCTGCTGCTGCTGCTGCTGCGGGAGCGTCTGCTGCTTCTGCTGCTGCGTCTTGCGCGGGGTCCAGCGGGCGGAGGACTTGGAAGTCAAGGCCGAGGCCGCAGTAAAGCACCAGCTGGGTGATTTGCTGCAGCTTGCTGCTGAAGCTGTCTGTACACCCGAGAGTGTCACTTTCCCTTTCTTCGTTCGCAGCAGCAGCAGCAGCAGCAGCAGCAGGACTTGGCTGGTGGGAGTGCTTTGTGTCTGCATGGGGGCTTTCGCGTTTGCGGGCTTGCTGGGGGTCAGCTGCTGCTGCTGCTGCGGCTGCGGCTGCTGCTGCGCTGCTGCTGCTGCTCGGGGGGCCGCTTTCGGGTGTACGTACACCCCAGGGGGGCTGCAGAACCTGCAGCAAAAGCACGCCGAGGGCCCAGACATCCTGTTTGGAAGAAGTGGGGCAGCGCTGGAGGACCTGGGGGCCCCCCAGGAGCTGCTCAGGGGCCAGCAGCGGGAAGGGAGGCAGCAAGTCCGCAGCGGGGGCCAAGAGGGCCCCCCCTGTGAGGTAAGAGAGGCCCCACTCGCTCAGCCGCACATTCCCCTGCGTGTCTATGCGGATGGTGCGCGGCTGCAGCCGCCCGTGGCTCAGCCCGCAGCTGTTCAAGTGCGCCACTGCAGCGAGAGTTTCCGCAGCCACCCGCGCCAGAAACTGCAGCTTTCCCCGGTCCCAGCTCGCCGGCGCAGCCCCTGCTGCTGCTGCTGCTGCTGCTGCTGCTGCTGCTGCTGCTGCTGCTGCTGCTGCTGGGTCTGCGGCGCGGCCAGTTTCGCGGGGCTGCGCAGCCCCTGCTTCGTTCCAGGAGTCGATTATGTCCTGCAGGGACAAAGACCAGTACTCGGAAACCAAATAAATTCGCCTTTTCGAACGCAGCACGTTCGTGTAGGCGCAGAGGTGGGGGTGCTTGATGGCCTTGAGCCGGTAGAAACGCGAAATGATCTCGCGGTGGGGCGGCTCCCCGGAATCCTCGAGAACGTCTTCATATTTGGACTCTTTTAATGCTTTTGTGGACTCGTGGAAGCTGCGGGAAAGCAAACTGGAGAGGAGCGCCGGCTTGCTGCAGTTCCCCGCGGAGCTGCTGCTGCTGCGCGCTGCGCCGCCGCACGCAGCGGGAGTGCCCCCGAAAGAATCCTCTAAACCCTCATCTGCAGCGCCAGCAGCTTCACAAACTTCAGGCGGAACATCAATGAATTCATACAAAGTCCCCTTGGCCTCATCTTTGCTCGCGTCCAGCGGCAGACACTGCGGATCGCCGTCGGCAGCAAGCACGCTCTGCAAGCCCAGCTGAAACTCGGAACAAAAACTGAGCGACATTCCCTCAACTCATTTCTTACTTGCATTTTTTAACGCAATTCAAACTAAATTATGCGCTGCTGCGGCTTGGGAAGCCGCCTGCGTTGAGTGGCTGCTCTCCATCACATACCAGACCAGTCAATTCATAGCGCTCTCTCGGCACCGATCAAACGATCTGCTGACGAAAAATTAGAATAAACTTTATCTTCCTAAGATTTCCGGAAGAGGAGTTATTTAGTTTTACTCTTAATTCGCGGGTCCATGCCCGCTTTCCGAACAGTCAGTGTCGCTGTTCCGTAGATGGGGGCCCCTGCTCGACTCTGGGGCCCCAGCTTTCCTTTCCGCGCAGCTCAGTCTTCCTAAAGTTCCCATTTTCAACATCTTTAAGACTGGTTTTATGCAATTTAAAGACTTTATCATCTACCCACGTTGGCTTTCGGGTAGAGACGCAGCTGGAAAGCTCTTTTGAGCACTGCAGAGGGCAGACCCGCTGCAGATTCGCCTCCCAGTCGACTTACAAGTCCAACTCTTTGCGCACTAATTTATTCCCAGAAAGCGAATTAAACTATTAGTGCTCAGCTGCTACAACTTATCTTCGGCCCTCCCGAAGAGATGTCACACTCCGTCCCAGACATGAACTTTCATACCCTTGCACTGCAGAAAATGGGCTGCCTTCATGTGATTCGTGGCAATAGGGAAGTCTGCCAATAATAGCAATTATAAAAGGGATTACTTTCGTTATTTTTGTTCCTCAAAGCGCAAAATATTGCGCCGGGGAACTTAGAATTCTAAAGGGAGGAGGTCGGGTCGTGCACAGGCTATTGCACGTCAAATTGACTGAAGTAAATTGAAACAAACAGTCAACCTGTGGAAACACAAGCCAATTATGTCGAGATAAATATTTTTCAAATATATTTCGCCACATTTCCCGCCAACTGATTCAGTCTCATTGTTTATTCTTGCCATCAGAAACGGCTTTCTTCTTTTTTGAATTCACGGGGCGCTCGTCCGCCTCCGACTTCTCTATCTGCAAGTACATGAACGAATGCAAAATAAGTCAAATAATGAGACAGAAATGCAAAATAAGTCATATAAATGCGACAGAAATGCAAAATTACAAAAAGAAAACGAAGAAAAGAATATGGATACGACAGAACTGCAACTTTCAACCATTTCAACAGCTCTGTTGCAATCAAACTCAGCACCCCGGGGGCCTGCTCCCTAGGACTCATTTTGACGAGAAAGTGGACAGAAATAGTCTAAATAATCAAATATAAGTCTTTATGCATCTAATAAGGATAGATATAACATATATGAAGGAGCAGAAACGCAAAATGCGCAATCCAAGACAGATTCAAAAGCTTTCAGATTCGCCCACAGAATCGAAACTTCGTGCGAAACGAAACAAACCTCTATTTTCCTTTTTTTCGCGATTTCCTTTTTGTTTTTTGAAGTATTTTTTTCCTCAAAGAAGTCCCGAGTTGTGTCGACAGCGGAGTCTTTGTTTTTTCTTGTCTTGTTCAAATTCGCATTTTCATTTTCGTCTGAAGGCGCTGAAGAGCTTGAACTCTCTTTGGCCTTCCCTGTGAGCTGTTTCTTCTTTTTGTTCTCTTTTCCTTTCTGCGTTTCCTCAGATGCTGAAAATATAAAACAAAAAAGACAAATTAAAACGGGAATAGAAGAACTTGAATTCATAGCAGAAAGAAGAGAAATTGAAAATAGAAAAACTTGAATTCGCAGCCCTTCTAGCGCGCTCTCGTTCAAAAAGGCCTTTCTGAATTCATCACCGATCTCCCCAGTCATCTTTCTATCTTCATTTCAAGTTTTCTTGAAGGTACAATTACTTATTTGGGAATTTGAAATCCACTTTTTGTTTGCCGTTTTCTTGAAAGTATATTTACTTATTTGGGAATTTAAAATCCACTTTTTGTTTGTCGTTTTCTTAAAAGTATATTTACTTATTTGGGAATTTAAAATCAACTTTTTGTTTGTCGAAGGTGCCACTTTCAACTAGCTGAGCCATAATTGCAGTTTGCTGATTCCGCCCTCGACTAAATTCTCGAAGTTCAACTAAGTTCTAAAATAAGAATGTTGGAACAACACTTTTCCTAATTCATTAATTCTAATTAGAATAGAAGTGCTCTAGGGGTGTTTAGATCGGAATAGATTTCAAACTATTCAGCTTTCCTCCAAGGAATATTTCATCGATTGCGCGTTTGGCTTCTTTTTCTGCTTTCCCCTTGGCGTTTATCTCCTCTTCTTCGTCTCCAAAAACAGTTTCTTTTTTGTTTTTATTTTCTTTTTTTGGTTTTCGAAATCCTTTCCCCTCGTTTTGCAGCAGAGTCGACTCGGCCTCGGATTTCTTGATCTTCGGATTGTCTGGCTGCAGAAAGCAGCGCAAAAACTAAACAAAACAAACGATAATATTGCCAATGTTATTCTTTTTTTGGAACATAAAAAGCTTTTTCTTTTTATAACTTCTTTCCGCCTTTTTTTCGTGTTTCCACTTGCTGTTTCTCTGTTCCCACCGATGTGCACCAGCAGCACAGCAACAGCAGCAGCAGCAGCAGCAGCAGCAGCAGCAGCAGCAATTTCCCCCGTGTCTAACTTCTGTTGTTTTTTCTTTTTCCTCTTTTCCGATTTCTTTTAATTTTAAAAATAATAATAAAGATGGAGAAACTCACCAGAAGATCCGCCGCCTCCTGGGTGTTCTCCACCTCGATGGCTGCGTCCGAAATAATATCTTTGAACAGTTCCTGGAAATAAAAAGCAAAAGGAATTAACTGACATAAATAAAAGCAATTAAGAAAGCATTTTATTGTTCAATTTTAAAATAAAAAGAAAAAGAATTAAATGACGCAAATGGAAACAATTCAGAAAACATCTCACGCGCATTCAACGAACTTGAATTCCACTAATTGGAATGCGGCATTCCAGCAGAGTTGCATTCATTTCAGCTCAACAAAAAGGAAAATAAGAATAAAAAATGAAACAAAATAACAATTTTAATAAATAAAAAAGAATTTAAATGAATAAAAAACAATGTAAATGAATAAAAACATTAAAAACACATTTTCTGCGAAGTTCACGCGCACTGACACAAAACTAATTCAAAAGCAGCAAATTCTTTTGCAGCAGCAGCTTTTAAAAATTAAATTAAATTTGAATTTTAGTGCGGAGTGTCTCGACAGTTCGCGGCTTTCTGCTGCAGCAATTTGGGGAAGAATTCAGAAATTCAACTTTTGCAAATTTCGGATTTGAAGGCCGCGACTTTTGCTGCTGCTGCTGCTGCTGCTGCTGCTGCTGCTGCTGCAGCAAAAGGCCCACTCGCGTTTTGCTTCTCTTTTCCTGCCGCTTCTGCCACTCTTCTTTGTCTTTTGTGAATTTGTAAACTTCGCACTTCATGTAAGCCGTGTAGTTCTTCTCCTTCAGCTCCGACTCCACAGGCAGCAGCGCCTCCACTATCTCTCGCTTCAGCTCAGGCTGAAGCCGCAGCAGCAACGCAGCAGCAGCAGCAGCAGCAGCAGCAGATGAAGCAGGGGCATTTGCAGCAGCCCCAGGAACAGACGCACAGAAGCCGACGCAAGCAGCAGCAGCAGCAGCAGCAGCAGCAGCGGGATTCGCAGCAAGTTTCGGCCACTGGCACCATCTGCAGCAGCAGCAGCAGCAGCGGAATTCGCAGCAAGTTTCCGCCACTGGCACCATCTGCAGCAGCAGCAGCAGCAGCAGCAGCAGCAGCAGCTTACAGTGGCTGCGTTGTAGAGAGAGGTGAGGACGAAGCCGCCGACAGGGTCGAGGGCAAAAGAAGCAGCAAAGGGAATTAAATGTCTTATCAAGTAGAGAATGCTGCTGGGCTGTATGCTGCTGCTGCCAGTGTCTGCAATTTGCTGCAGCAGGCGGGAAGTCAGGCGGTTGGTGGTCATCAGTTCCAGCAGGGAGCTGCAACACAAAGGAAATCTTCGACTTGGGATTTATTTTCTCCATCACAGGCTTTATTTTGATAAATATTATATTTATGAACCAACTGCATCTATTTTGGCATTTAAATTCGCTTTCAGACGCATCCGGCGAGCGCAGCAGGTGTACATACACCCCAAGTTCCAGCGGTGCAGCGCAGCAGCAGCAGCAGCAGCAGCAGCAGCAGCAGCAGAAAGCCATTTCGAGGAGAAGAAGAGCAGTTGAGCACTTTTCTTGAAGCTCCCGTTGCTGCTTCCTCCTTTATCTTTTAAACTTCAAGTTCAAGAACAGTTTCCCCGCCAACAGAGAGCTTTCTTGAGTGCAACTTGGCGGAACTTGAAAGAAAAAACGCCAATTGAAAGGACTTCAACGCAAAAATCCACTTACTGGGACTCAGTTGAAAGAAAAAAAGCCAATTAAAAGGACTTCAACGCAAAACTGCACTTACTGGGACTCAGTCTCAGGAGGCCCTTTTTTAGTTTTCCATTTTTTGACTCGGAGTTGCAAATTCGCGGCACTTCGGACGAACTTTTTGAAGCCGGAGTTCAGCGGCTGAATGGCGTTGGCGGGAAAGCGCAGCAGCGACAGCAGCACGGAGCAGCCCGTGGGAGTGCAAATGTCCACAAGCCGAAGTTGCTGCTGACTGTCTTCTTCCTTTGCTGCTGCTGCTGCTGCTGCTGCTGCTGCTGCTGCTGCTGCTGCTGCAGCTCCTTTGGGACCTTCGGGCCCCCCTTCTTCTTGGGCGTCTTCCTCCTCTGCTTCCTCGTCTTCCTTTCCCGCTGCTGCTGCAGCAGCAGGAGCTGCAGCAGCAGCAGCAGCAGCAGCGCCCTCGCCGGCCGGCGGCTCGCCGCCCTGCTGCAGCAGCTGCTGCAGCAGCTGCTGCGGCAGGTCCTCGGGAGCGCAGAGGCCCAGCAAACTCCACCAGGCAAAAGAAAAAGAAGTGCCGCTTTTTATTTTGAGGGCTTCGAAGAGTTTGCCCGTAAATACGGTGTACGTACACCGCAGCCGCCGGCAAGCCTCCGCGCACCGCCACAGCACCGCCGCAGTTCCGCAAAACAAAATTTCTTCGAAGTCCAGAGCTGAGCAAAAAGACAATTCGCCAAAAGTCTGCACATGTGAGCAGTGCTGCTGCTGCTGCTGCTGCTGCTGCTGCTGCTGCTGCAGCAGCAGCAGAAGACAAAGCGCGATTCACGCGAAAATCCGGAAAATCTGCGCAGCGCAGTTGCTGCAGCAGCAGCTATAGCAGCAGCTGCTGCAGCAGCTGCTGCCGCAACAGCAGCAGGCAAAGCCTAATTCAACCAAGTCTACAGCAAATATGCGCAGCGCAGCTGCAGCAGCAGCAGCAGCAGCACGTAGAGCACCAGAACAGCAAGTTTGAGTCCACGACACGCAGCAAAAAACAGAAAGAACTGCTGCTGCTGCTGCTGCTGCAGCAGCTGCAGCAGCAGCAGCAGATGCTGCACAGCGCAACTTTAAGTGCAAAAAGGTGTCCAGACACCCGGAAGGCGCCGCAAATACAAAAGACACCAAAACGCCCCCAAAACCCGCACAGAAGCCCCGCAGCAGCAGCAGCAGCAGCAGCAGCAGCAGCAGCAGCAGCAGAAGCCCTGCGCGGGTCCAGCTTGTCCCAAATGAATGCAAACTTGAAGAGGAAATCTTTGTGATAAATAAAACGAAAAGACTAAAAGGAAAATCTCTCAGATAAATAAAAACAAAAAAGCAAAAGAAAAAAAAACAGAGAAGCAAACAGAAAGAAAGCAAACTTTGAATTTGGAAATGAGCAAAAGGTATTTCAAATAATTTAAATTGCAAAAACAAATAAACAAACAAAGACTGTTTTAAGTGACTTTGAAGAACAAACAAACAACAAATAAACAAATAATGCCAAATAACTTCAAAAACTAAATCAAAAAGTTAAAAATTAATTCAACTCAAATATTAAATCAAAAAGATTAAAATTAATCCAACTCAAAAATTAAATCAAAAAGATTAAAATTAATTCAACTCAAAAATTAAATCAAAAAGATTAAAATTAATTCAACTCACCCTGCAGCAGCAGCTTCAAATGCGGCGCTTCAAAGGACGGCGACTGCAGCACCTTCTGCAGCAAGAAATTGCCAAAGCGGCCTGAGCAGCAGCAGCAGCAGCAGCAGCAGCAGCAGCAGCAACAGCAGTAGTAGCAGCAGCAGCAACAGCAACAGCAGCAGCAACAGCAACAGCAACAGCGACAGCAGCAGCAGCAGCAAACGGAAACGAGCTTTAACGGGAGGCGGAACAAAAGAACTTGTAATGCAAAAAAGTAAATAAATTCATTTACAAGAACTTGGGAATTATTATATTTCTTTTTTATATAAATTCATCACAAGATTTAAAACATATACAAATATATAAATGTGCAAATAAATGCATAAATATGTGAATATATAAATATATTTATATGTGAATATATAAATATATGAATGCATAAATATTTAAATATATGAATACATAAATATTTAAATATATAAACAGATAAATATATAAACATATAAATCTATATATATATTCATGTATAAATATATAAATACACGAATATAAATATGTATATATATAAATATACCTGTATATAAATGTATATGTATAAATATACAAAAATATGTAAATATAAAAATAAATACATATATATAAATATATATATAGATACAAAAATATATGAAATTAAATATATATACATAAATATATATATATATAAATATCCAAAAATATGTAATTGTAAAAATAAATAATACAACGCACAAATATAATTAAAGTGAAAAAGAAAAAAACGAAAAACCGGTGAAGGCGAGAGCGGCTCTTTGAACAAAACTTGGAGAATTTTCTGAAGTTCTTTTTTCAAACAAGTCGAATTAAACAAACCGAGTCAAATAAATTGGATAAAATCAAAATAAATCAAATAAATGAATTAAATTAAATTAAATTAAATTAAATTAAATTAAATTTAATTAATTAATTAATTAATTAAACTCCCACCTGCAGCCAGCTGCGGGGCCCTTTTCAAAATAAAAGAAGAAAAAAACTTTTGAAAAGTTTGCGGAGAAAAAAAAGAAAAAAAAACTTCCAAAGTTCGACTCCCACAAGCGCTCTCCGCCAAGGCCTCTGCAATTGCAAAACAACTTTCAATTCTTTTTCTTTTTTATTTATTTATTTATTTTTTTATTCTTTTCTTTTCTTCTTTTATTCTTCTATTTATTCTTTTATTCTTTTATTTCCTTCTTTTATTCCTTTATTTATTTTTTTATTTTTTCATTTCTTCTTTTATTTCTTCATTATTCTTTTATTCTTTTATTTCTCCTTTTGTTCTCTTTTGTGTCCTTTTATTCTCCTATTTGTTCGTTCGGTCTTTTGTTTGTTCTTTCATCCGTTTATGTGTTCTTTCATTTTTTTCTGTTATTTGTTCCTTTATTTGCTTCTTTATTATTCATTTACTTCTTTTGTTTTTATTTGTTCTTTTTATTTGTTCTCTTTGTTCTCCTTATTTGCTCATTTATTATTTTATTCATTTATTATTATAATAATAACAATAGTAATAATAATTCGTCTGCGAGGAATTAGAGAAGAGATTAAAAAAAGAAATTAAAAATACGCATCAAAACGAAAAAAGAAATAAAAAGATTAAAAAAGAAAATAAAAAAGAAATTAAAAAAATTAAAAAAGGTACCTGCAAATTTCACAAGCTCCTCGTCGCTGTTCTTTTCCTGTTCGAAAAAGACAAAAGTAAAATTTAAATTAAATTAAAAAATTAATTTAACTGAAAACAAACTAATTTTTATTTTCCATTAAATCATTTGAATTCTAAGCTGACAGCATTTAAGCTAGGAATTAAAATCACTCCGAGGAGAAATTAGTATCATTCAAGTTGGAAATTAAAATCACTGAAGGCAGCACTTAAAGTGTAGAAGCAAAAAAGAAAAAATGGCAATTTAAAAGAAAATTGAAAAAATAAAATTCATTTTTATGTTTTTAAATACCTTTGGAGACGAGAAAAGCGCTTCGACAAGCTGCTGAAGTGGCTCTGCGGCAGCAGCAAAAAATTAATTAAAGAAAATGAAATGAAATGAAACAAAAAGAAGTTAAATCGAGTAAAAAAGATGATTAATGACGGCTAAACTAATTTAAATAAAAGGCAACACCCGTAGGAACTTTTAAAAATAAAATAAATGGAAAAATGAGGAAAGTGAAACCGCTGCCTCCGGCGTCTGGGGTGTACAGACAGCTGCGGGTAAGAACTGATATTGGCGGAAAGCTGACGGATTTCTTTGGAAATTGGCGGAATTGAATTCATCTTTGATTATGAAACTTTATTTAAAACAGAAATAGATTAAATTCCATTTAAATAATGTTAAATGACTGAAAATAAATTCAATTTCGCAAACTTCATGACTTTTACCCCGCAGCTTCTTCGCCTGGAGCGCAAGCCCCAGGACCTGCAGACAAGGCGCCGCGTAGGGGTCGAAGGGCAGCAAGAACTTCTCCTTTTGCAAAACTTGAATTATTTCTTTTGACAAATGAATTAATTCTTTTTCGAAAGAAGGTGGGGTGGCCAGCAGAGCTGTACATACACCCGAGGCCTTCGCGTCCAAAGAATTCACTTCTTCCGCAGAGTCCAGCCGGTGCTGCCGGCGCGCCCGGCGGCCTATTGCAAAAAGTGAGTTCAAAAGAAACTAAATAAAATCAATTATGAATTCAAAACAAAATAGATGAAAACAGCCAACAGACAACTGCCTCACAGCCAGCGAAAACAGCCCGCTGCAGCAGCAGCAGCAGCAGCAGCAGCGGCAGCAGCAGCAGCACTTCAAGGGTCCAAAAGCAGATCATTAGCAGCCCGAGTGCAGCATTAACTGTCTCGGGAGTGAACTGGAAAAGAGAAGAAGAAAGGGAGTCTGAAAAGGTTGAAAAAGAATTAAAATAAATAAAAGAATTAAAAAAAACTTCGACAGAAACCCACCCGCCTCCTCCGGGGCCACCAGCCCGTCAGCCCCAGCCAAAGCCCTCACAGCCGCTCTAAAAATGTGGCAGCCAAATTTGCTTTTCAAAAGGCCCTCCCAGCCCTCTGGCATTTTCCTGCAAAGCCCACCACATGCAGCTTTGCTGCTGCTGCTGCTGCTGCTGCTGCTGCTGCTGTGCTGCTGCTGCTGCTGTGCTATACAGCTTTGCTGCTGCTGCTGGTATACAGCTTTGGTGGTGGTGGTGGTGCTGCTGCTGCCGAGCAGCTTTGCTGCTGCTCGGCCAAACACCTTTCCTGCTGTTGCTGCAGCCAAGCAGCTTTGCTGCTGCTGCTTTTGCTGCAGCCAAATGCCTTTGCTGCTGCTGCTGCTGCTGCTGCTGCTGCCCTTTGGCTTTTTCTTGCGAAAGCCAAAGACAGGAACTCGAGAAGCAAAGAAAATGCAAATTAGTGAATTTGGAATGAACCAAAAACAAATAAAGACAAAGTAATTAAATAAACACAAAAATGAATGAACAACCCATAGAAAAAAAATAAGCAAATATTACAAACAAACGAATAAATGAATAAATGAATAAATAAACAATTAATTAATTATTTAATTAATCAATTAATTAATTAATTAATTAATTAATTAATTAATTAATTAATTAATTAATTAGTTAACTAACTAATTAATTAACTAATTAATTAATTAAACTTTTTACGAAAGTGAAAAACGCAAAAAAATGACGAAGACGAAGAGCAGGAGTTTCTTACCGCAGCTGATCCACCATAGACAGGAATAAATCCGCAGCTGAAAACGAAAAACAAAAAAATAAATAAATAAATAAATAAATAAATAAATAAATAAATAAATAAATAAATAAATAAATAAATAAATAACAAAACATAATTATAAATAAATAAATAAATAAATAAATAAATACATAAATAAATAAATACATAAATAAATAAATAGAAATCTATTGGTGGAAAAGAGCAGCAAATGCAAAGAGCAGCAGATTTTGTCCGTTCAAAGCAGCAAGTGAAACTATGGGCGCAGCAGCAAGCAGCAGCAAGCAGCAGCAAGCAGCAGCAAGCAGCAGCAAGCAGCAGCAAATAAAAGCAAGGGAAGTAAAAGCTGGAGTTCTTTATCGCACTTGTTGGCCCCTCCTGCTCTGCAGCAGCAGCAGCAGCAGCAGCAGCAGCATCTTGGAACTCTTGCTGCTGGCTGCGCTTCTTTGCTTTTTTCCTGGCCTCTTTGCTGCTGCTCAGCAGCAACTCCTGCTGCACTGCAGCAGGAAGGGACTGCAGCAGCGTCTGCAGCACGTGGGAGCCGCTGGGGTGTACAGACAGCTGAGCAACGAGGGGCACGAAGTGGCTCAGGAGAAGCCGCCAGGTGTACAGACACCTCAGCTTCGCGGCTTCCAGCGCAGGTTCTGCTGCTGCTGCTGCTGCTGCTGCAACTGCAGCAGGCAACCGCCCGCCGCTGCTGCTGCTGCTGCTGCTGCTGCTGTTGCTGTTGCTGCTGCTGCTGCTGCTGGAGGGAGAAAAAGACAAAAAGTTCGCAAGCAAAGAAATCAACTTTTCTGCTACGCGGCTGCACTGCCGGTCCGACAGCAGCAGCAGGCCCTGCCAGCACATTCAGAAACAAAATAATATTCAAATTAAAAAATCAAATTGAAATGAAGTGAAATAAAATAAATTAAATTAAATTAAATTAAATTAAATTAAAATTTAAAAGTAAATCAAATTAATTGAACAGTTAAAAGGATCAGGAACAGCTTTGAAGCCAAGTGAGGAGCGGGGGAAAACAAACGAAGACAAAGGCGTTAAAACAAACAAAATCAAAATTGGAAACAAAATTAAAACAAATTAAAAATAAATCAAAATTAATTCAAAATTAATTCAAAATAAATTCAAAATAAATTCAAAATAAATTCAAAATAAATTCAAAATAAATTCAAAGTAAGTTTAAAGTATTTTTGAAAACAAAAAGGTAATGCGTAGCGGTTTCTTCCGAATTGCTGATGGCTTTGCTGCGACAAATTCAGAAAAAAATTGAATTTGAATTTGAATTCGAATTTGAATTTAAATTTGGATTTAAATTTAAATTTAAATTTAAATTCAGATTTAGATTTAGATTTAAATTTAAATTTAAATGTGAATTTGAATTTGAATCTTGAATTTGGATCTTGAGTTGGAGTTTCTGTATTCGTCGGAAACGGAAATTCAAGTTTTCGCACTTGCTGCTGCGTCGGAGTTGGAATTTCGTTGAATTCCTTTTTAAAATAAATAAATAATTTGTTTTTAAGTTTTAAAACTTGAAAATAAATCAAATGTTGTTTTTAAAAGCTTCAATTTCAGATTTAATCGCCAAGATCTGCTGCTTTCCGAACTCACTCGGCTGCAGATTTCCTCCACCGTGGAGGAAACGAAAGCTTCCAGTTCTTCCAAAGAGTGAAAAGGACAAGAACTAATTAATTCATTTATCCGCAAAAAGTAATCCGACACATCTGGCTGCTGCTGCTGCTGCTTCTGCCTCTGCTGCTGCTGCTGCTGCGGGAAGTCTTCAGCTTCCTCTGCTGCTGCTGCTGCTGCTGCTGCAGCAGCGGAGTCGTCGGGTGTACATACACCTGGGAGTTCTTCATGCGCGTTTTCGCCTTTCAGCTTTTTGTGGCGGCGGCCGCCCGGTCTCTTTCCCATTTTAAGTTTTGAAGTTCTTTTATTTAATTATTTATTTTTGTTTTCTTTTTTTCTTTATTTCGAAGTTCTGTTTCCACCGTTTTCGGGTGTCACTACTGCGCGTCGATGCCCTCGGGCCTTCGCCTTTCGCCACCTCGAGGCGCCGCAGCTGCGACTTCTTCGTCTTCAAATGTCACTTTTTGATTTTTTTCAAATTTAAATAAAAGAAAAATAAAAAAAGAATAAAAACAGAAAAGATCGCGAAATTGCAGCACCAGGCAGCAGGCCCGGCCCTGGCCCCTCCACAACCCACCTTAAAGCCTTCAGATTCCACTTTTTATTTTATTTTTCCATTCAAATGAATATTTTTATTTCCAAAAATAAAAATATTTATTTTTACTGCAAAAACAAAGAAGCTTCCCCTCTGTGGGGCAAACTCTGTACCCTGAGGGCCCCCGGGGGCCCACATCAGTTCAAACTAAGCAAAAATTTGCATTAAAATGATCTAATGAATTTTTAAATTGTGAAACATAAATAAAAAAGCAAATAAAATTAATAAAAATAAAATAAATGGAATAACCGGTGGTGGGGTCCGTTCTGTGGCTGAGGGGAGCTGAGCTGATCCCTGTGTTCGTATAAAACAAATAAATAAATAAATAAATAAATAAATAAATAAATAAATAAAATAAATAAATAAAATAAATAAATAAATAAATAATAAAGGGGTAAATAAATAAATGATTATACATGGAAATAATAAACGAGGCATTTAATTTGCATGAAGGCAGTTCATAAAGGGCCCCGTCTGCTGCTGAAGCAGCAGCAAGTAACTGCAGCAGCAGCAAGTAACTGCAGCAGCAGCAAGTAACTGCAGCAGCAGCAAGTAACTGCAGCAGCAGCCACGCAAAAAAAGCAACAATAACAATGAGAATAATAATAGTAACAATAATAATAAAAATGATAATAAAAATAATAATGATAATAAAAATAATAATGATAATAAAAATAATAACGGCATTAATGGCATTAATGGCAATAATGGCAAAATATATGAACTGCCAGCAGCAAATAAAAGCTTACAATAAACCAAATGGCTGCCTAAAGCTGACGCACTTTACCATTCTCGCTATACTTGCCATTAGTGCCACTTTCTTACTATTAGTATTACTATTAGTATTAGTATTAGTATTAGTATTACTATTAGTATTAGTATTAGTATTAGTATTAGTATTAGTATTAGTATTAGTATTAGTATTAGTATTAGTATTAGTATTAGTATTAGTATTACTATTAGTATTAATATTAGTATTAGTATTACTATTACTATTGCTATTATTATTACTATTACTATTACTATTACTATTACTATTACTATTACTATTACTATTACTATTACTAATTACCATTACTATTATTATTATTATTATTACTGCTGTTACTGTTATTATTGCCATTGTTATTATTACTACTACTACAATTATTATTATTATTACTATTATTACTAATACCACAATTGCTTATGGCATTATTATTATTGTTATTACTAGCATTATTATTATTCTCGCCATCATTATTCCCCATTATTGAAAATGATTAAAAAGATTAAAAGCATTTAAATGGATTTAAAATGTTTATAAATTGATTTGAAGTGGAGAAGATCAGAGTCATTAAAAGCCACTTGAAAAGAAATGGACAAGTGGAACTTTCTAGCTGCCTGACTCCCCTTGCTGCTGCTGCTGCTGCTGCTGCTGCTGCTGCTGCTGCTGCTGCTGCTCTCAGTCGCCGAAAGGAGAGACAAGAAAAGTAAATAAGCAAATTAAAATGAATTGAAAACAAATAAATAAAAATAAAACAAAGGAGCAGCAGCAGTTGAGTGGGCCTTCACTTCTTTCTGTGCTGTTCCCCGGCCCTGTGGGGCGCCGCAGCAACTGCTGCTGCTGCTGCTGCTGCTGCTGCTGCTGCTGCTGCTGCTGCCCCGGGAGCAGCAGCAGGGTCTGCTTTTATTTCTAAATCACTTTCTGTTTTTAATTTTGTTTTTTGTTTTCGCAAACGCAAAGAGTGTCTTCGAATAAAAGTTTTGGCGCCATCTGCATTGCCTTCAGGTGTATAGACACCTCCCTGCCCCTCCCCCTCCACCTGCATGTCCTCTTCGCACAAGCTGCTGCTGCTGCTGCTGCTGCTGCTGCTGCTGCTGCTGTTGCTGCTGCTGGTGTGAGAAGGCCTGGCCCTGCGGGCCCTGCCTGCAGTGCATGCGCTTGTTGCTGCCTTGGGGCTGCCGAGTTCTTCCGCGCTGCTGCTGCTGCTGCTCCAGTAGCTGCTGCTGCTGCTGCTGCTGCTGCTGCTGCTGTTCGTGGCTTTGCCTGCATGTGCTGCAGCAGCCCACTCGATTTGCTGCTGCTCTTCCACCCTTCGCTGCTTCCAGGGCTGGCCTTCTAAAGGGTACTCTGGGGGGCCCCCCTCTTGGCTAGCTGGGGGGCCCCCCTTTTGGCTAGCTGGGGGGCCCCCCTCTTGGCTAGCTTGGGGGCCCCCCTCTTGGCTAGCTGGGGGCCCCCCTTGGCTAGCCAGGGCCTCGTCTTTACCTGCTGCTTGCTGGCTGTTTGCTGCTGCTTGTGTTCGCTGTGCCTCGCCGCTCCTCCCGCTGCTGCTGCTGCTGCTGCTGCTGCTGCTGCTGCTGCTGCTGCTGGGCTGTTTTTGCCTGGCTTCCACCAGGTGCTTCTCAGCCTGCAGCCGCAGCAGCTGCTGCTGCATTTGCTTCTTGATGCTGCTGAGGGCATTGACTTCTTGTGTGATGCTTTTGAGTTTTGCTTCGGTTTGCTGCTGCTGCTGCCTGGCCTCGGCCAGCTGCTGCTGCTGCTGCTGCGCTGCTGCTGCTGCTGCTGCTAGCTGGCTCGCAGCCTGCTGCGACTGCTGCTGCAGTCTTTCGTTTTCTAATTCTAATTCATTTATTTTCATTTTATATTTGTCTGCATCTTTCAAATGCTGCTGCTTCTCTCCCTCCCAGCGGCTTAGGGCCTCGGCCAGCAGCCGGTCTTGCTGCTGCTGCTGCTGCTGCTGCTGCTGCTGCTGCGCCTGTTGCTGCACCTGCAGCAGCTCGGCTTCCCTCTGCTGCAGCTGCAGCTGCAGCTGCTGCGCCTCTTCCTTCGCCGTCGCTGCTGCTGCTGCTGCTGCTTGCTGCTCTTTTGCCGCTGCCGCCTTCTCTTTTCCCGCTGCTTCTGCTGCTGCTGCTGCTGCTTGTGCTGCTGCTGCATCTGCTGCTGCTGCTGCTTCAAGGTCTTCGATCCTCCTCAGCTGTTTTTCAGTCAGTTCCTTCTGTTCGGCTATTTCCTTCTGCAGGGCTGCTGCTGCTGCTGCAGCCTCTGTCTGCTGCTGCTGCAGCAAAGCAGCATACTGCTGCTGCTGCTGCAGCAAAGCAGCCTGATGCTGCTCCTCTTCTTTCTTCTGCTTCTCCAGCTGCTGCTGATTGCTGCTGTCGGCCTCTTGCAGCATCCTAGCAATCTCTCCCTCCTTCTGCTGCAGCTGCTGCTGCAGGTCCTGCTGCTGCTGTTGATGCTGCTGCTGCTGCTGCTGCAGCTCCTGCTGCAGCTCCTGCTGCTGCCGCTGCAGTTGCTGCTGCAGGTCTTGCTGCTGCTGCTGGTTCACTTCCTGCTGCTGCTGCAGTTCCTGCTGCTGCTGCTTCAGTTGCTGCTGTAGCTGCTGTTGCTGGTGCTGCTGCTCCTGCAGCTGTTGTTGCAGCTGCTGCAGCTGCTGTTGCTGCTGCTCTTGCAGCAGCTGCTGCTGCTCCTGCAGTTCCTGCTGCTGCTGCTGCAGTTGCTGCTGGAAAGAAAGATCTTTGTCAGCTAGCTGCGCTTCCAAAAAGATCTCCCTTTCTTTTAATTTGTCTTTCAAATCCGCAGCAGCAGCTGCTGCTGCTGCTTGCTGCTGCTGCGCTGCTGCTGCTGCCTCCATGTGTGCAGACACCTCGGCCTGGCTCGCCGACAGCTGCTGCTGCAGCGCAGCAACTTGCTGCTGCTGCAGCACAAGTGCAGCAGCAGCAAATTAGAAAAAAGCAGCTCAGGAATTAATTAATTCTTTTAATTCTTTTAATTGTTTTTTAATTCCGAAAAACGAATTAACAAATCAAACGAAACAAAAACAAATAAAGAAATGAAACAAAATGAATTGGTGAAACAAATCGAAAAAGGATTAACAAAACAAAGACAAATAATTTGATTAAAATAATTTAAAAGAACATTTAATACTGACAAAGACTTGCATGCATTTGCATGCATGCATGCATGCATTTGCATGCATGCATGCATGCATGCAAAACATGCATGCATGCATTTGTAGACAAATGGGGAAAAGCAGCAAAAATATAAGCTGCAGCTGCTGCAGCTGCTGCAGCTGCACTTCTGCTGCTGCTGCTGCTGCTGCTGCTGCTGCTGCCCACCAGTGTGGAGATGTCTGCGGCTTGTTGCTGTAGCTGCTGCTGCGCAGCTTCGTTTGCTTCTTCCTTCTCCTTTTTGAGCTGCTGCAGCTGCTGCTGCAGCTGCTGCTGCTGCTGCTCTTTTGCTGCTGCTGCTGCTGCCAGCTGCGTCTCCAGTGTCTGCTGCTGCTCCTTCAGCTGCTCTGTGTGGCAGCGCAGCCGCTGCAGCAGCAAAACCGAAAATTATTTATTTATTTATTTATTTATTTATTTTTTAATTAATTAATTTATTTATTTATTTATTTATTTATTGTTTATTTGTTTATTGTTGCCATTATTATTATTTGCTATTTATTTATTTATTTATTTATTAGTTGACTTGGGTTATTCTTGCTAACGCGAAGCCGGTACAAACAGCACATCTTAAATTTGATATTAATTAATTGAATTAAATTAATTAATTAATTAATTCAATTAATTAATTAATTAATTAATTAAATTAATTAATTGAATTAATTAATTAATTAATGAATTGTGATAATAAATAAAGAAGTAATGTTGCTGCTGCAGCAGCAACGAACCCGTATCTCTGCCTGGGCCTCTTCTGCTGCTCTTTTGCTGCTGCGCCTTTCCTCCTCGAGAGCAGCAGCAGCAGCAGCAGCTTCGCTTTTGGCATTTTGGAGTTCAGACTTGACTTGAGTCTGCTGCTTTGCTGCTGCTGCTGCTGCTGCTGCTGCAGCGCGCTGCAGCAGCAGCTGCTGCTGCTGCAGCACCGAACAGACCTTCCCCTCCCCCTCCACTGCAACTTCAAGAGCAGCAGACAAAGTCAAATTCTGCGTCAGCAGCTGCTGCTGCTGCTGCAGTCTAACCCTCCAGGTGTATCTACACCTCCCCCGGCCCCATTCATTAGCAGACGGCCCCGAAGTCCCGAATTCATTTTTAAAGGTTTTTCTTGGCTTGCTGTCAGAAGGCCTTTTTTGCTGCTGCTGCTGCTGCTGCTGCTGCAGCTGCTGCTGCTGCTGTGAGCTGCTGCAGGTGGCGTCGGGGCCCTTGCTGCAGCAGCAGCATTTAAAGGCGCTTTGCTGCTGCGAGCGGGCAGCGAGCGAGCAGCAAGAAGACAGGCCCTTGAGGTGTACGTACACCCCAGCCCCCGCGGTTGAGAGGGACCGGCAGGCGCGGGCACTTTTTGCTTTTTGGCGCAAATAAAACAAATTAATTAATCAAATAAGTCAATTAAATGAATTAAATAAATTAAAATAAGCAAGTTAAGTGTTTTTTCGGCAATTTGCTGCCAAAGAGCTCTTCGCAGGACAAATCGGCCAGGAGCAGGCGCTCGTTTTTCAGGTGTACGTACACCTGAAAAACGAGAGGAAACCGAAATCGCCGCACTCAAAACTAAACACTTTTATAAAAAGACAAGTTTGAAGGCTGGCAGCAGCAGCAGCAGCAGCAGCAGGAGCAGCAGCAGCAGCAGCAACCCCCGTGGCTGCTCAGGCCAGACGCGCAGCAGCAGCAGAAGTGAGCTTTTTGCGGAAATTAATGAATTAAACAAAGTTAAAATCCGAAGAGAAATTAAAAACACTTTTAATTTAATTTTAAATCCAACTTCTTCTCTGGGGCTGCTTGGGGCCCCCGCATGCCATGCAGTCTCACGCCTGGGGTGTCTGTACACCTCAGCAGCAGCAGCAGCAGCAGCAGCAGCAGCTGCTGCTGCTGCTGCTGTGTTGAAAAGAAGAACAAGTGTGGAAATGATGAAATTATAAATAAATAAAATTGAAATGAATAAATGAAATTAATACTTTTAGTTTGGAAGACTAGGCTGCCTCTTGTTCAGCTTTAAATTCGTTTTCTGCTGTCTGGACACTTGGATTTGTTCCAGCATTGAATTTCATTTAATTCGTCTTTTCAGTTTTGGTTTTATTAAATCACCTGTTTCAATATTAATCATTATTTCAGTTTTAGTTTTATTTAATTACCTGTTTTAATATAAATCATTGAAGTCCTTCAATTGAATTAATCCGTTAACTAATTAATTAACTTCTCAAGCTTCAATTAATTGCATTTCTTTTCATTTTCATTTCTAAATTAAATAATTAATTTTGTCAATCCGAATTAAATTAATCAAATAATTAAATTAAATAAATGAAATAAATTAAATGATCACACATTTCACAACTTCATAGATTTGTGTTTTGTTTGTTATCGCAATGAAATCCTTTTTAATATTTATTTTTAAAAATAAAAATCTCAATTTTAATTTTAATTTTGATTTGTTTTTGCAGAGATCTGCTGTATGTACACCTCAGCAGCCACGAAGCTGCCGCCACTGGCGATCGGAAAAATGTTTCAATTAAATTAAAATTAGAACTTCAATTCCATTTTAATTGCAATTTAAACTGCAGTTCTAATTGGAATTTAAATTGCAATTTAAACTGCATTTGGAGTTAAAAATGAATTTAAAAAAAGAAATGAATTCCGAAGTGGCCCTAAAAGTCGAAAAGTGCATTTTAGTCTTTTGAGTCTAAAAACTTTCTTTCGGCCCGGCGGCCCTGAGCTCAGCCCAAAACAGAAAAGTTAAAAGAGGCTGCAGCAGCAAACAGCTGCTGCTGCTGCTGCTGCTGTTGATAGTGCTGTTGCTGCTGCTGCTGCTGCTGCTGTGGCTGTAGCAGCAACAGCCACGGTTGAAGCAGCAGCACCAGCACCGCTGCAGTCACACAATCTGCAGCAGCTGAAACAGCAGCAGCAGCAGCAGCAGCAGCAGCAGCTGCTGCTGCTGCTGCTGCTGCTGCTGTGGCTGTGGCTGGCTTGGTTTTGCTTGTCTCCCTGCGGACCAGCTGCTGTTTGCTGCTGCTGCCGCAGCAGCAGCAGCAGCAGCAGCAAAAGCTACTCACACCGGCTTCATCCCTATCCCTCTTTAGTTGGCTGCTTTCCAAAGGAGACAAGCCAGACGACACACTTCCAGCAGCAGCAGCAACAACAGCAGCAGCAGCAGCTGTTGCTGCTGCTGTGGTCGCAGCACCCCTTTCCCCACTGAAACAGCGCACAAAGACGCAGACACTGTGCTGCAGCAGCAGCAGCAGCAGCAGCAGCAGCAGCAGCGGGCTCCGCTGGCCTCTTCCCTCGCGCCTTGTACGCACCCCCCATCCCCACCTCCCGTTGCTGCTGCTGCAGCAGCAGCAGCAGCAGCAGCAGCAGATGAGTCCCCCTTCCAGTACAGATAGACAGAGCCGCCACGCATCCTGTGCTGCAGCATTTGCGGGATGCCTCAAGACTTTCCGGATCGGCGAATGAATTAAGATTTACAACTTCCAACTCCTTGAGAATTTGCTGCTGCTGCTGCTGCTGCTGTTTGTTGCTGCGCCTCCTCACGCTGCAGCAGGGCGACGGCCTCGAAGCAGCAGCAGCAGCAGCAGTTCAGATGTTTATATTGTGAAGTCCAAGAGCGCCTTTGCCTCCCCCATTTGCATGCATTTGCATGCATCCGTTTGCATGCATGCATGCATGCATGCATGCATGCATGCATGCATGCATGCGTTTGCAAGTCGGAATGAGAAGACTTGGGCTGCGGTGTACAGACAGTGGAAAGTGCTGGGGTGTATGTGCATGCGCATGCAGCCGGCCGCGGCCGCGGCGGTGGGGTGTATGTACAGCTGGTTGTGTGGGGAGAGCGGAGCCGAAGGAAAAGGACCCAAATGGCAATTTCGAAGCATAAAAGCGCCTAAAGAATGCAAAATAGCATTAATTTGCATTTAATTTCCATTTAATTTGCATTAAATCATCTTTAATTCATCTTTAATTCATTATTTCATTCAAAGAAAAGTCCGTCGCGCAAACATCCGCGCGGAGGCCAAATGCCCAAAAGCCCCTTTTCACTTTATACATACATTTACACACCAGCTGCTGCTGCTGCTGCTGCTGCTGCTGCTGTTGCTGTTGCTGTTGCTTTCTCCTCCCAGCATCCATCCCCTCTAAATTCACGAGAGCAGCAGCAGCAGCAGCAGCACTGTTGCTGCTGCTGCACTTTCGAAAGTCTGGTTTTGAGAGCCAAGAGTTGCGTCCAGTAAGGACTTGCACAAATAAAGACATAAAGCCTCCCCTTTGCACTTCTTAACACTTCTTCCAATGCCAAGACAACATCTCAACTGGGCCTTCTTCTCCTCGCCAGCTCCGCCACCCCACAGCAGCAGCAGCAGCAGCAGCAGCAGCATTGTTGCTGCTGCAGCAGCAGCAGCAGCGCCTCCGCAGTCCTCCACCTCCGAGCAGAAGTGCAGCGCCCCGCCACTCCTCAGCAGCAGCAGTGGTGAGCAGCAGCAGCAGCAGCAGCAGCAGCAGCAGCAGTGGCTAGCAGTGAGTGGTGGTGAGCAGCAGCGGGAGTGGTGGTGGGTGGTGGTTATTGGTGGGGAGTGGTGGGTGGTGGGAGGAGTGGAGAGAGGACAGAGAGGCCAACAGCGGGAGAGCACTGCAGCTGCTGCAGGGGGTGGAAATGGTGGTGGTGGAGGTGGTGGTGGTGGAAATGGTGGTGGTGGAGGTGGTGGTGGTGGAGGTGGTGGTGGTGGAGATGGTGGTGGTGGAGATGGTGGTGGTGGTGGAGATGGAGGTGGTGGTGGAGATGGTGGTGGTGGAGATGGTGGTGGAGATGGTGGAGATGGTGGTGGTGGAGAAGGTGGTGGTGGAGATGGTGGTGGTTAGTGGTGGGTGGTGGTGGAGGTGGAGATGGTGGTGGTGGATAAGGTGGTGGTGGATAAGGTGGTGGTGGATAAGGTGGTGGTGGATAAGGTGGTGGTGGATAAGGTGGTGGTGGATAAGGTGGTGGTGGTGGTTATTGGAGGTGGAGGTGAGTGGTGGGTGGTGGGAGTGGTGGGAGGAGAGGAGAGAGGAGGGCGGCGAGAGAGCCAAGAGTGGGAGAGCACTGAGAGTGGAACAGCCCACTGCCAGCACAGTCCAACTGCTGCAGGAGGCGGAGGTGGTGGTGGAGGTGGTGGTGGAGGTGGTTATTGGTGGAGGTGGTTATTGGTGGTGGTGGCTAAGGTGGTGGGGGAGGTGGTTATTGGTGGAGGTGGTTATTGGTGGTGGTGGATAAGGTGGTGGGGGAGGTGGGAATTGGCGGAGGTGGTTATTGGTGGTGGTGGATAAGGTGGTGGGGGAGGTGGGAATTGGCGGTGGTGGAGATGGAGGTGGGGGAGGTGGTTATTGGAGGTGGTGGAGATGGTGGTGGTTATTGGAGGTGGTGGAGATGGTGGTGGTTATTGGAGGTGGTGGAGATGGAGGTGGGAATTGGAGGTGGTGGAGATGGAGGTGGGAATTGGAGGTGGTGGAGATGGTGGTGGAGGTGGTTATTGGAGGTGGTGGAGATGGTGGTGGAGGTGGTTATTGGAGGTGGTGGAGATGGTGGTGGAGGTGGTTATTGGTGGTGGAGGTGGTGGAGGGGGTGGTAGTGGCGGCTGGTGGGGAGTGCCGGCGGAGCTGGTGGAGGGGCGAGGCGGCAGTGGGCACTGCCGAGGGCAGTGGGGAGTACTGAGGGCAGTGGAGTGGAGTGGAAAGCAGTGGAGTAGTAGTGAGGGCAGTGCAGTGGAGTGCAGTGGAGTGGTAGTGAGGGCAGTGGAGTGGAGTGGAGTGGAGTGGAGTGTTAGGGGCAGTGTTAGAGGGACTATTTCGAGGGGACTGTTCTTTAGTGGGGACTCTTTAGAGCGGACTATTTAGTGGGGACTCTTAGTGGGGACTCTTAGTGGGGACTCTTAGTGGGGACTGTTTAGTGGGGACTCTTAGTGGGGACTATTTAGAGGGGACTATTTAGTGGGGACTCTTAGTGGGGACTCTTAGTGGGGACTCTTAGTGGGGACTGTTTAGTGGGGACTCTTAGTGGGGACTATTTAGAGGGGACTATTTAGTGGGGACTATTTAGAGGGGACTATTTAGTGGGGACTACTTAGTGGGGACTATTTAGTGGGGACTACTTAGTGGGGAGTGTTTAGTGGGGACTACTTAGTGGGGCGTGTCAGTGGGCGTGTCAGTGGGGGTGTCAGTGGGAGAGTTCCTCGCGAGAGTTCCTCGCGGGTGGCGCTGCTCAGCGGGCACTGACGTTGCTGCGTGCCAGCACCACTCCCGCTGCTGCTGCTGCTGCTGCTGCTGCTGCTGCTGCTGCTGCTGCTGTATTCAGGAGGGCTGCGCGGCTGCTGCTGCTGCTGCTGCCGCTCCGGTGCCGCTCCTGGCCTTGCAGGCCTTGTTCTGGACGGCGTGGTGCTGCACCTTGGAGAGCCTGACCTTGATGGCCCAGTACTTGGACCTGTAGAAGCCGTGGGTCTTAGCCGAAAAAGACTTATAATATCTTTTGCCGCCTTCATACCAAGAGGCTATCCAGCTGCGTTTGTCCCAGTAAACGCCGGCCACGTCGCAGCGGAGGTCTTCGGGGTTGCGGGGGTCGGGGGCCTCTTGTTCGGGGAAGTCCAGGAGGTACTCGTACTCCGCCCCGTCGGCCATTGCTGCTGCTGCTGCTGCTGCTGCGCTGCTGCTGCTGCTGCTGCTGCTGAAGCCCAGGCCTGCTGCAGCAGCAGCAGCAGCGCCCAGCCCGCACAGCGCCGCAGCGCCACCCCCGCACTCCAGCAACGAAGACGCGGGAGCGAGAGGCGCAGCAGCAGAACCCACAAACTCCCCGCAACCTGCTGCTGCTGCGCTTGCTGCTGCTGCTGCTGCGGAACCGGGAGGCGGCAGCAGCGCGGGAGCAGCCAGCAAACTCCCGCCGCTGCTGCTGCTGCCACCTGCTGCTGCTGCTGCTGCTGCTGCGGCTGCGGCAGCTGCGGCGTCTTTGCGGTAGCGCTTCCGCGAAGTCCCGCGGTAGGCGTCCTCCGCAGCGCCGTGCGGCTGCTGCTGCTGCTGCAGCAGCAGCGCGCCCGCGGCGCCGCCCGCCAGCTGCTGCTGCTGCTGCTGCTGCTGCTGCTGCTGGAACAGCAAACGCGCGCCCCGAATGCCGGGGCTGCTGAGCTCCCAGTGGCGAGTGGCATTCGGAAAGTGTTTGTCCAGTTTGCTGCAGAGGTCGTCCAGCTTCGAACACGCAGTGTGGATTGCGTCCAGCCACTGCAGGTACTTCTCCGTGCAGCAACGGCCCCCCGCTGCTGCTGCTGCTGCTGCTGCTGCTGCAGCAGGTGCTGCTGCTGCTGCTGCTGCTGCTGCTGCGGAAGAGGAGGAGGAGGCCGAGTCCGCCCCGCTCGCTGGCTGCGCGAGGCTGCACGGCAGCAAACCAGACGACGCGCCCTCCTCGCCCGCCCCCATATCCATGAAGCTGCTGCTGCTGCTGCTGCTGCTGTTGCTGCTGCTCCCGCCAGTTGCTGCTGCTGCTGCTGTTGCCGGCGGAAGGTCTGCTGCGCCCTCCGACGCAGGAGGACCCGACGAAGAACTACCACCACTTGCTGCTGCTGCTGCTGCTGCTGCTGCTGCTGCGTCCGGAGGCGCTGAACAGGAGGAACTCCTGCTGCTCCCTGCTGCTGCTGCAGCAACAGCATCTCCTGCTGCATGCTCTGCTGCTGCTGCAACACAAGGGTCGTCTTGAGAAACCTCCTGGGGGCCCACCCCCTCACACATAGCAGCAGCACCACCACCACCAGCAGCACCACTGCCATCTCCTGCTGCTGCTGCTGCTGCTGCTGCTTCGGGGGAATCAACAAGTGCTGCTGCTGCCCCGGGATGCGCCTCTAGAGGGGCCCCCAATAGGGGGGCCCCCAGCGGCGGGTGCGGGGGGGCCCCCAAGGGCCCCGCCCCGTTAATGGGCTGAGCAGAGTCCATAGTACCCTCCCCAACCGCCTGCTGCTGCTGCTGCTGCTGCTGCTGCAGCGCTTGCAAAGTTTGCGGCTCAAACCCGCAGCTGCCGGCGCCGGCGCTGCTGCCGTTGCTGAAGTGCGGAATGCTGCTGCTGCTGCTGCTGCTGCTGCTGCTGCCGGCCGGCTGCTGCAGCGAAGCAAACGGACTCGAGCGGCCCCCAGGGGGGCCCCCCGACATATGCGAGACATAGCCAGGGGTGGGGGGCCCCTGGGGGCCCCCAAAGCCCATGGGGGGCAGGGGCTCTTCGGGGGCCCCCCCCTGGGGGCCCCCCTGTGACGCAGCAGCTGGGGGCCCCCCCGCAGCTACAGCAGCAGCAGCTGCTGCTGCTGCTGCTGCTGCTGCTGCTGAAGGCACCGCTGTGTCTGCGGGGCTCTGCATGGCCGAGTGGGGAGCCGCTCCAGCTGCCGCTGCTGCTGCTGCTGCTGCTGCTGCTGCTGCTGTCGCATCGTAGGGAGCAGCAGCCGCAGGGGCGCAAGCAAGAGCTGCTGCTGGAGGCCCTTCGTCTATCTCCATACTGCTGCTGCTGCTGCTGCTGCTGCTGCTGACAATTTCTTTCCAATTATAAAATCAAAATTGCAAAAAGTTAACTCCTTATTTCCAAAATCCACAAGCTCCCCGCCAACTCAAAACTGCTGCGCCGCGGTCAGCTGCTGCTGCTGCTGCTGCTGCTGCTACTGCTATTGCCGCTGCCGCTGCTGTTGCTGCTGCTGCTGCTGCTGCTGCGGGATGCAGGGAAAGGCCAGCAGCAGGAGAACAAGAACTCAACAGCAACGGAAATGTGTTAAATATATTTCTGATGTTGAATGAATTGCACAAGTGGCCAGCGCAGCAGCTGCAGCAGCTCAGGTGTACGTACACCTCAGGAAGAAGGGCCCCGGCACACGCCCAGACAAAAGTGCATAATGAAAAATTAAACAAACAGAAATTACTTTTAATAAAACAGATTGCTGCTGCTGCTGCTGCTGCTCCCTGCTGCCAAAGCTAGGGGCAGCAGCAGGCCGGAGGCGCACTCAGCACGCGCTGCTGCTGCTGCTGCTGCTGCTGCTACTACGGTTGCTGCAGTTGCTGCAGTTGCTGCTGCAAGCTGCGAGGCTGGTTCACTGCTGCTTGCACGCTGCTCGAGTCAGTGCTACTTCTGCTGCTGCTGCTGCTGCAGCAGCAGCAGGGGGCTGCTGCTGCTGCTGCCAGGGGCGCCGGAACAAACGGGAAGGGCCCCAAGCTGTCCAATAAGACACATGGGCCCGAGACGCAGCAGCAGAGAGGCCCCGCCTTGCCACCACCACCGCAGCAGCAGCAGCAGCAGCAGCAGCAGCAGCAAGTTAGCGCGGCTGGGAAGCCGACGGAGAGAAAGAGACGAAAGACGCCGACAGCAGCAGCTGCTGCTGCTGCTGATGAGGGGCCCCCTGCAGCGCCAAGCGGCGCAGAGTTTCGGGGGCAAAATGAGAAAAAAAACAGTGAAAGGCGAGAGAGGGGGAGGGGCCCCTGCTGCTGCTGCTGCTGCTGCTGCTGCAGCTACGATGAAGAGCAATGACAGCTGACTCAAAGGAGCGTCTACGGCTGCTTAAAATGCGGGCGGGCAAAGAAGCATTTCAAAGGAGCAGCAGCAGCAGCAGCAGCAGCAGGCAGCGGCAGCAGCACCCAGCCTCAGCAGAGGGCGCGGCGCTGCTGTGTCCTTGAGGCCTCCCGCGCTCCCTTTCGATTCAAAGAAGACAGAATTGAGAAGAAAGGAACAAACGAAGCAGCAAAAAAACAAAAGAGGCGGCGATTGGGCAGCAGCAGCGCGGAGAGAGGAAGCAGCAAACAGCCGCAGCAGCAGGAGGCGCCTGCAACGCCGTGGGGCTCTGCAGTTTCTTTTGATTCTCGCTGCTGCCGCCGCTCAACGAAAATAACAATAATGCAACAAACGGAAATCAATTGCTGCTTTAACGCGTTCAACTTGAGGTGTACAGACAGCTCAAACACGCGCCGCGCTAGCTCGAGCAGCAGCACCATAGCAGCATGCTGCAGCGGCGGCTCAGACCCGGACTTCCTGGGGGAAAAAGGGCTTTTTTTTCGCGTATTCTGGAGAGAAATGTCTCAAATAAATATAAACAGCTTTTCAAATCAAATTTAATCGGCTGCAGCCGCAAGAAACCCGCGCACACGCGCCCCGGCGCCCGCCGTCTAGATAGCCGCCGCGCAGTTTGCAAGTTCGGCCTCTGCGCGATTTCTTTCTTTTTTCCAGACTTTCTGCACTAGTTTTTAAGTCTTTTGAAGGCCCCGAGCCCAAAGCAGCGCTTTTGCTGCTCCGGGCTGCAGCAGCGGGGCAGCAGACGCAGTGAGACGGCGCTGCTGCCTGCAGCAGCAGCTGCCCGCCCCCCCTGCTGCTCTCCTAGCCTTTATTTCTGGGTTTTGCTGCAGCCACGGGGCCCCAAACAAATCACAGCAGCAAGTCCTTGCAGCATTTCTACCCAGACAAGCAGCTGTGCCTTCTTGCTGCTGCGGTGTGCTGCTGTGGGGCGCTGCTGCGGACAGCTGCTGCGGCTGCGCCTCCTGCTGCTGCTGCTGCTGCTGCAGCGACCAGCTGCAGCAGCAGATAACTGCAAGCAGCACAAGGAGCTCTCACTAGCTACGCTCTCCTGCGCGAGCAGCAGCAGCAACCAGCCCCAAAACGCTAGCTAGTAACCCCAGAGTTTAGCCCAAACCCTAAACCCTAGACACATGTACTGCTGCAGCAGCAGCAGCAGCAGCTAATCAGCTGCCCAAGAGCCGCTGCTGCTGCTGCCTCTGGGGCCCATTTGCTGCACCCCAAGCCCCATCTTGAATTGAATCTTGAAGCAGCAGCAGCAAACTGAACACAACAAACCCCAGGGCTTCTGCAGGCCCCCTGGGCGCCCACAAACGGGTTTAGCGGCTAAGGTTTAGGGTTTGGGGCCTAGGGTTTAGGGTTTAGGGTTTAGGGTTTACCGCGTAGGGTTTAGGGCTTCTACATGGCAGCTTGACGCAGATAAGTAGGGTTTCTTTGCAAGGAAGTTAAAACCCCAAAGAGCAGCAGCAAAAGCTGCTGCCTTTGCTGCTGCTTTGGGGGCAGAAGTGAGTCAAGTTGCTGCAGCTTCGAAGTAGCTGAGTAGGCTTTCTGCTGCTGCTGCTGCTGTTGCTGCTGCAGCTGGGCTGTGGCGGAGTTTGTTTGTTCGGGAAGAAGTTCCCGGTTGGCTGTTTTTCATTAATGGAAGAAAATAAGAAGAAAAAAGAAGAGAATGATGAGGCTGATCGCGTGGCTGGTGCAAGTCGATTCCTAAAAGTTGAATTCAGCTTATTTCGAAGAAGAACTTGCAAATCGGAGCAACAGAAACCATTTTAAATGTCCCATTTATTGTTTATTTGTTTATTTATTCATTTTCCACGTATTTCTTTGCCTTTTAGTGTATTTATTTCCTGTTGAGACCTCATTTTGAGGGCGTCTTGCTTTGTGCGTCTTCACTGTGCGCGCTGCCTCGAGACAAGACACTGGAGCTGCGGGAATCCGCGGCGGAACTTTCCTTGAAATGGATCTAATCCTTTTAATTAAAAGGCATAAGTGTATTTAAGATAAATTATAAAGGAGAAAAGTGGTTTGCTTGCGAGAATGGGAGAAACAGAAACTGCATGGACGGTTGTGTGCAGCCGCAACCCGGCGGGAGCTGCAGAGCCGATTCTCCGGGTCTTTTGAAGAAAAAATGCAAGAAATAAAAACGCTTTTGGCCTTTTTGATTGTTCATTTAAAAAGAAGTCGAAAAGTAGCGCAAAAGAGAGCCAGACGCACAGCTAACTCGCGCGGTGTCGGCGGCGACGCGGCGGAAACGGCAAGCAGCAGCAACTGTTTCTGAATTGTTAGGTGCTGAAGAGAGGCTGGAGCTCACGAAATGATACTTTTGAAATGATTTTAAAGTTTATTTGATTTTAGTCTTCAGTTTTCAGCGCAGGAAGACGCCCGGGAGTGGACAGCTAGGCGGCCTCAGCACGTTCGGCAGCGCAGCAATCGCTGCCTGCTGGTTTCAGGTCTACAATGGCATTTTCGGGGCAAATGTTTGCGTATTTGAAAGCGATTCGGCTTTAAGAAACTCTCTTTCCTTTTTCCTCTTCTTATTCTTGCAAAACACGACAGCTTTCCCGCAATCCCGCCGCGGATTCGCCAACTTGAATCGACGCCGAGCGCGCGCTCGCAGCGAGAAGAACCTTCAAATTGGCCGCGACTGGGGAGATTTCAGCGGCCTTCTCGGAGCATTTCGGGGTAAATTGAAAACAAAGCTCAAGTAGAAGTTCAATTAAGGGCAAACAGCTGAGGAAACTGGCCCGTTCAAATTCTTGAATTTCGGTTTCGCAGCCGCGGCGTTCACTCCCCTCGATCTTCTCCCTCTTTGCCCTTCTGTGGCTTCTGCGTCCCTTCCCTCTTTGTCTTCTGGACTAATAATAAAGCAGAAGTGCATTTGTGTTGCGGGGGATTCTCGTGCTGCTGCGGAGGCTGGCAGGAGCTGAACTGCTGCAGCAGGCGCAGCCGCGGCGCTGCAGCAGCGCGGGCCCGCAGCAGCGCAGAAGGCCTTTCTTTGTCCTCTTAACTTTCGCTGTGTGGCCTTTTCTGTGGATTTGTTCAGTCGCTGGTGCAGCACCGCCTCCTAGTGGCCTCTCGCGCCGGCGCAGCAGCAATGCAGGCGGCACCGCAGCAGCAGCAGCAGCTCGCGCAGCAGCAGCAGCTGCTGCAGCAGCAGCACGCCGCTGCCCCCCAGCTGGTCCTCTCAGAGACCACTCGACCCCTCAGCAGCAGCGAATCCCGTCCAGATCCTTTGCCTGTTCTTATTCAACACTCTTCTTCCCTCGTTGCTGCGCAGCCCGTTGGCCGCCTCATTCCCACGAACGTCAGGCCCCCCCAGTGTCTTGCTGCTGCAGGTGAGCCATTGGCAGCAACGCAGCAGCAGCAGCGCCGCAGCAGCAGCCCCCCGCTGCTGCTGCTGCTGCTGCTGCAGCTGCTGCAGCTGCTGCGCCCTCCCCTACGTCGCTGCTGCTGCCTCCAGACGCCGCTCTTTCAGCAGCTGCCGCGCACCCGCCCGTCCGCCGACACTCACACCTCCACCCTGCTGCTGCTGCTGCTGCTGCTGCTGCTGCTGCTGCTGCTGCTGCTGTTTGCGTGCAGCTGTGGGCAGCGCCTACATCCCCTCTTCCCTCACGGGCTCGCCTTTCTTCCACGCAGCGCCTTCGGCCCCTCCGTGCATTTCGCGGAACCCGAAGGCCCCCACTTTGGCAGCACTGACGAACAGGCTGGGGGCCCCGCAGCTGCTGCCAGCAGCAGCAGCAGCAGCAGCAGCAGCGGCGGGGCAGGGCGCCTTGCCGGGCCTCGACAAGCAGCAGCAGCAGCAGCTGCAGCAGCAGCAGCTGCTGCAGCAGCAGCAGCGGCAGGCCGGCGCTGGAGCCAGGCTTAAGGCCCTCAGTGCTGCTGAGGGGCCCCTGGTCTCCTGGCCGCCCCCGGGCTCTGTGTCTCTGGGCTACGGCAGCATCCACGGCGCTATGGACGCAGCAGCAGCAGCAGCAGCAGCAGCAGCACGCAGCAGCAGCAGCGACTACTTGCTCCCCGACGGCAGCAGCAACGCGCTCTCCGTCATCAGCGTGCCCAACGAACAGGGTGAGCCTAGGAATCAGAGCAAGGCGCAGCAGCAGCAGCAACACCCAGCAGCAGCAGCAGCAGCAGCAGCAGCAGCAGCGGCAGCAGCAGCAGCAGCAGCAGCGGCATGCAGCAGCAAGCGGCAGCAGCATCGCTACTGCTGCTCACTCAGGCCAAAAGTGAAACCCGCCTTCCGAACCACCATCCATAGCCCTGCCTCTCCTGTTGCTGCTGCTGCTGCTGCTGCTGCTGCTGCTGCTGCTGCTGCTGCTGCTGCTTTCTGTTTGCTGCAGCGCCCTTGTACAACAAAGCAGCAGAAGAGTTGTGCCGCTCGCTGAAGGCGATTGGCTGCTTCTCCGTCAGCAACTCTGTGGCAGCTTCCTTGAGCAAAGAGGCAAGAAGAGTTTGAATTAATTTGTTTGTTTTTATTTATTTTTACAATTTAAGTTTAATTATTTTATTTTTAGAATTTAAATTCTTTTAATTGCATTTGAAAGAAATCTTCCGCCGCTTTTCTTCTTTTTCGGCTGCCGCTTTCGCCGCGCGGTTTCGGGTGTACGTACACCCCAGCGCCTCCACCGATCCACTGCTGCTTTTTGGAACTTTCAAAAATATTTTAAAAACATTTAAAATAAAATCCAAATAAATATAAAATAAATGAAAGTTCAAGAGCTTTTTAATACTTTAGACTCTTGAGGGTCAAGTGGTCATATTAAAAAGCCGTTTGCCATTTTTCTACTTGAAATTTTTTGCAAGTCTTTGCAAATATGAAGTATAAACTTTCATTAAATATAAAGTAAATATGTAAATATTATAAATATATATATATTTATTTAAATATACATATTTGTTCGAATAAATAAATATAAATGTCGAAATTAACACAGGAGCAGATAATGCTCATTTTTGAGGTGGGTGTACAGCTGAAGATTTGCTGCATGCACGAAAGTCCAGCAGCAAATGTGTAAATTTAATTTCATCATTTTCATTTTTCTTGATTTGATTTAATTTGTTCATTTTATTATTTTATTTTCCTTTTTTTCATTTTTCATTTTCACTGTGTGAATAACTTTTGCGGTTGCAGCTGCTTGCAAAATCGAAGAAGCAGCAGCAAGAAAAGGCGCAGCAGGAGGCCGCAGCAGCAGCAGCAGCAGCTGCTGCTGCTGCTGCGGCTGCGCGGGAGCAGGAGAAGCAGCGGCAGCAGGAAGAAGCCAGGAAGCAGCAAGAAGCAGCAGCAGCAGCAGCAGCAGCAAGACAAAAGCTGCAAGAAATCGATGCTTCTCATTTGCTGTGTCTCGCGGGGCCTTCTCCCGCGGAGCTGAAGCAGCAAAGAGCGCGGAGAGCAGCGCTGCAGGCGCAGCAGCAGCAGCAGCAGCTCCTGTGGCAGCAGCAGCAGCAGCAGCAGCAAATGCTGCAGCAGCAGCAGCATATCGAGCAGCAGCAGCAGCAAGACTTCTTCATGCAGCAGCAAATGCTCTACCCATCAGAGGAACAGTGGAGCAACCAACAAGAATCATATTACAGTCAGATAAGCGCCGTTTCTTGCTGCTGCTGCTGCTGCTGCTGCTGCTGCTGCTGCTGCTTCTGCTTCTCGTGAACTCCTGTTGCTGCTGCTGTTGCAGCTGTAACTGCTGCTCCTGTGGTTCCTATTCCTACTGCTGCTGCTGCTTCTTCTTCTTTTGTTGTTTTTGTGTTGTTCTCCTGGCCCTCGCTGCCGTTGCTGCAGCAGCAGCAGCAGCAGCAACAGCTGCTGTTGCTGCTGCTGCACTTGCTAATGCTGCTTCTTTAGACAGTCGACTCGTGTCTATACAGCGCAGCAATGTCAGCAATGTTTGCTGCTGCTGCTGTTGCTGCTGCTGCTGCAGGCTACCCCTCTTTTGACTCCCAACAGCAGCACCAGCAGCAGCAACAGCAGCAGCTGCAGCAGCAGCAGCAAATGGACCGCGACGCCCTGCGGCAGCAGATTCTGCTGCAGGAAGAGAGGATTGCTCAGCTGCAGCAGCAGCTAATGGAGCACCAGCAGGCCCGAGAGCAGCGGCGAGCAGCAGCAGCAGCAGCAGCAGCAGCAGCGGATGAGGCGTACAGCAGCCACGACAGCAGCAGCAGCAGCAGCAGCCCCTTGAGGAGCTCTTCTGCTGCTTCTTTTCTCAGCAGCAAAATGCCGCAGCAGCAAAACAGATTTGCCAGCGATTCAGCAGAAGATGGAAAGCAGTTTAGGAGAGACAAAGACAAAGCAAGCCTAAACCCTAAACCCTAAACCCTAAACCCTAAACCCTAGCTTCCCTAGAACAAGCCCTAAACCCTAAACCCTAGTTGTGCTGTTGTTTGCCGGGACCAAACAGCCAGCAGCAAAGCAATAAAGAGGGACAAGTAAAAGCAGCAAATGGGCCCATTAAGCTGCTGCTGTTGCTGCTTATTTAACTGCTGCTGCTGCTGCTGCTGCTTGTACTGCTGCTGCTGCTGCTTAAATTGCTGCCGTTGCTTCGCAAAGCGCTGCTGCTGCTGCTACTGCTTGTGCTGCTCCTGCTATTTAATATTGGTGCCGCTGCTTCTCAAAGTGCTGCTGCTGCCGCCCAGGCTGCTGCTGCCACTCAACTGCTGCTGCTGCTGCTGCTGCTGCTGCTGCTGCTGCTGCAGGCAATGACTGTGGACAGAGCCCTGGCGCTGTACCTGCAGCAAAACAACTTGGGGGCCTCTTTGCTGCGGCGGGTAGCAGCAGGAATTTACTTTTTGGGAAAGATTAAACTGGCCATAAAGCTGACTCGGCCCAGCAGCAGCAGCAGCAGCAGCAGCAGCAGCAGGTCCATTAACCAGCAGCTCTGCTGCATGCCCCTCCACCTGACCCACGAGGAAAAGGTGCAGCAGCAGCAGCGCTTTGTGCCTCTCCATGCCTTCCTGAAGCAGCAAGGTGTCTTCGACAGAAGCAGCAGCAGCTAACCAGCAGCAGCAGCAGCAGCAGCAGCAGCAGCAGATAGCCAGCTGCAGCAGCAGCAGCTAGCCACCAGCAGCAGCAGCAGCAGATAGCCAGCTGCAGCCGCTAGATCAGAAGCAGCAGCTAACCGGCAGCGGCACCAATTAGCTCAGCAGTGGCAGTTACATCGGCAGCAGCAGCAGCAACTAGACCTGCAGCAGCAGCAACAGCTAGATCAGCAGCAGAAGCAACAGCTAGTTCAGCAGCAGCAGCAGTAGCCAGATCAGCAGCAGCAGCAGCTAGCCAGAAGCAGCAGCCGATGAAGCGAGCAGCAGCAGCAGCAGCAGCAGCGAGGAAGCAGCAGCACAAGACAGGAGGCGTTCCAGTGTACATACACCCCAGGAAAAGGCCGTTTCAAATAAATGATCTGCTGCATGCAAAATAAATTATTAAAGATATATAAATATTTATTTATTTATATATTAAACAATTCAAATGTGTATTTATAAATTAAATAATAAAATGCAACAAATAAGAAAAAACATTTTACCAACATATCATTTAGGGTGTCTGTACGCTCCATCTACAGCAGCAAAAGAGACACCAAAACTTGCCGCAAAATGGCAAACGTTTATCTTTATAATTTACTCTCAACACTGCTGCTGCTGCTGCTGCTGCTGTTGCTGCTGCTACAGTTGCTGCTGCTGCTGCTGTTGCTGCTGCGGCTGGGGGCGTCAGCGAAGCAAATAAAAGGCAGCAGGGACATTCCCTCAGTTGTTTCAGTTACAGTTTTACAAGCATTTGGTTTTAAACGAAAGAATTTGAAATTAAAAAAGAAATGAAAAGCAGAAGTTGAAATGCTGCAGGTGGCCCTGCTGCTGCTGCTGCTGCTCGGGTGTACGTACACCTCGCCGCAGCAGCACCGCATGCGCTAGAAAGAAAAGGGAAATAAAACAAACCTAAAAATGAAAATAAAGAATAATAAACGAAAAAACAATAAATGCAATCGAAAAGAAAACAAAAGAAGGCGAAATGAGGGATAGAAAACACCTGCGGCGCACATCAGAAACCCTAAACCCTAAACCCTAAACCCTTGCGAGTGTCAGCGCCCTGCAAAGAACAGCTATTAGGGCATCTTCAAAGGGAAAATGCATTTAAATCTTTTTAGAAATGAAAAGTCTCTTTTCAAGTTTACCTGAAGCCTTCTTGAGAAAAAAAAGCGTGAAATTCGGGTGTACGTACACCCCGTTTCCTCGCTTTGAAGCCGAAATGAGCAGTTTCCTCTACACTTTCATCTAATTGCTTTCACTTTTATTATTTATTTCCTTTTTATGACTCTTTTCTTTCTTTTAATTTCTTTTCCGCCGATGCCGCCGCACTCTGCGCTCTGCTCCGAGGTGTACGTACACCTCACCAACTCACGCAGCAGCACTTTCAGCACTTCACTTTGCCGGACTTGGCCCGTATAAACAGCTACTTGGATAATAAATAAATATATATTATCTATTTATTCAAATATAAATCTACTTCATCTATTTAAATATATATATATCTTTGTGTATCCATTCTATTCAACTTTTGCCATATTTGTTTGCACTTGGCTCTTCTCATACTTGTGGATTCAAATTTGATGAATTGTTTTTCTTTTTTGTCTCAAAAAAATCATTTAATTCCCCTCAATTGGTAAATTATGAGAAATAAATATTTGGCATTTGTTTCTATTTAGAGCTTTTTTACAAAATTAAAAAAAACAAATTTGCCATTTATTTCATTTTAATTTGATTGCAGCAAAAGGAAAATTTACTTAGAGCGAAAAACGCGGCCTGTACTAATATCCAACTTAGTTGCAATTTAAATCCAATTTAAATCTAAATTAAATTTAAATTAAATTAAATGGACAAATAAATGAAGTCAGATGTAAATTAAATGCAAATAAATGCATTTTAAATCGGAACCAAAAAAGTGGAAAACTACATGTTCAGGCAGGTGTACATACACCTGGTTGAATATTCGAATATTTCTTTTTGATTTATTTCTTTGCAATTAAATCTCCAAAATAAATTTATTTGCAACAGAAGCAGTTCCGATAAGTCTATTTATTTTTAAAATGGTATTTTAATTGAACTTTTCGGAAAATAGATTTTGGGAATTTTGCAAAAGTGCTTTTGCCTGAACATGCACTCAAGCACTCGGAAGAAAACCACGAATATAGAACTACAAATATAAATATAATTCAAAATATAATTATAATTATAATTATAATTGCAATTATAATTATAAATAACAATCTACACCTACACATAAATTATAAATCTAAATCTGAAACATTTATATTCTACTGCAGTTACCTCTATGCATGCGCTCAGGTGTACGTACACCTATACGTAGATATATGCAGTAAAATAAAATAAAATAAAATAAAGTACAATTACTTATAATAAAATAAATAATACCTCAATAATATTGCAATAGAATAAAAGGTAATAAAGTACAAAAATATAATAAAACGTAGTAAAATAAAGTATATCGAAGTGCAATAAAGTAAAATAAAATAAAATGTGATCAAATAAAATGTATAATAATAGAACGTAGGAAAGTGCGGTAAAATAAATGTAATAAAGTTTAATAAAGTACACTAATATAAAATGTAATAATAATAAAATACAATAAGTACAATAAAATACATTATACATAATAAAGCAGACTAATATAAAATGTAATAATAATAAAATGCAATGAAGTAGAATAAAATATATTATACATAATAAATTAAAGTAATATAAAACGTAATAATAATAAAATACAATAAAGTACAATAAAATGTATTATAAATAATAAATTAAAGTAATATAAGACGTAATAATAAAATACAATAAAGTAGAATAAAATGTATTATACATAATAAAGTAATATAAAATGTAAAAATAATGAAGTACAATAAAGTAGAATGAAATATATTATACATAATAAAGTAATATAAAATGATATAATAATAAAATACAATGAAGTAGAATAAAATATACTATACATAATAAACTAATAAAAAATGTAATAATAAAATACAGTAAGTAGAATAAAATATGTTACACATAATAAAGTAATATAAAATGTAATAATAATAAAATACAATAAAGTAGAATAAAATATATTATACATAACCATTATGCATAATCTCTATGTCTATTTAACTTGTACAGATGCACTAAATAATACTTGAAATAAATAAAAGTGTTTACAAAAAGAAATAAATAAATATTTCAACAAACATATAAAGTAAACTGCATGCGAAAGAGGCTGAAAGAACAATTATGAATTCATTTATTTTATTTTAAATGAAAATTTGTGAAATTTATTTGCGCCATTTATTCCACGTCTGGGGTGTATGTACAGGCGGGCGGGCATGCGAAGAATTTCATTTGTTTATTTTGAAAACATTTAAATGCAATTGCATTTCTTTTTTTGCTTGTCTGCCATTAATATTTCTTTATTTTCCTTTAAATGTTATTTATTTCTTTAATTTCCTCTAAATGCCATTTATTTTACTTTGTGGAGTCTAAAATAGACTATGTAAATATGCACTTTAATTACTTTGGCAAATTTACGAAAAGTGCTTCTTTTCTGGGAAGAAATCTTAATAAAAGTTCAAAAGAATTCTAAAAAACAAATTTAGAAAATGCCGAATTAAACATTAAAAGATTTCCTTAAAAGACAATTAAAAGAAACTTCGAAAGTCATTTCAGAATTCTGTCACCGGGATTTAAAACGCGAAAATAAATGCAACATTGAAGAATTTAATTTAAATTCTACAACAAATAAACAAAAGTGGTGAAATAAATTCCAAAATAATTCAAATTCGACACTTTTCCGTTTGCAGAAATCTGAAACTCTGAGGTGTACGTACACCCCGTCACTAGGGCCTAAACGAATTTCTCCGTTTTTCTCCTTTTATTTTTTCTTTCAACGGAATATAAATTGGACTTTTATTTTGAATTAGATTTTCTGTTTGATCTTTTCTTTTTTATTTTAATTGCATGCAGAAATATATTTACTCCTCTAGACTTGCCTACGTTTGCACTTGTGGATTTTTAAATCATATTTTTCAATTTCAAAGAACTTTTGAATTATTAAATTTCGCTTTTCATTTCTTTGCACTGCACTCGACTCAGGTGTACGTACACTCCAGCCTTTTTATCATTCTAAAAGAACTTCAAATAAATGACGGAGCTGTAGATACACCACAAATGCCGAAATGCTTCAAATTCCGAATCCGCTGTTCCAGAGGACCGAAAATAATTAAATTAATTAACATATAATAAACAATAAATAGTAATAATAATAAATAATTA